GTTATTAGGTGCAGTTGAGTTGGTTCTGATTCAGCGACCCTATGCACTGTGGAACCCAACACTGCCCGGTCCGACGTCATCCTCACAAGTATTGTCACACTTAAACCCATTGCTGATGACACTGTGCTAATCCATTTCCTTGGAGGCTTCCTCTTTTTCACTCACCCTCCACTTTTCCAAGCATAATGTCCTTTTTCAGGTTCTGGTTCAGGTTCGAAGTATGAGAGACATTATTTTGTTTCATCTCTCCATCCTCCTACCCTAACCCCAGTGGGAGTTATTCTGAACTGGCCTTTACAATTTAATATTAACTGCTTACACATGTTCGTTGCATCACCGTTTTGGAGCTTTGAATGTGGTGGAATTCATCCCACTTTACCTGCTTACACCTATGAACTTCTCTTGGGATTCACCATCTCCTACACCTGACCCCTCCAGACCCCTTCAGGGCGCTGGACACACCTGCTGGGAACACTTGAGAGGCCAACACTGAGCAGCAGATAATACCAGACAGCAGCCAGCAGCAGGGGCGTCCGCATTCGGTTTTTGCCTCGCCTACGCTCACAGTGTCCAGTAGGGGGCGCCCGCATGTCAGCGTCGCACGGGGAAAGCGAGTCCGGTCCCGCCCGCCCCGCCTGCGTGAACAGAACACCACTGCTGAACCTTCCATGGGCGGTTGGTGTCAATACATAAGGTGGAGAGGGTGCGTCTCCGTTCAGTTCTGGGACGAGCATCTTCCACGCGCGAACCACGCCACTCCCCCCAGGTGAGGCGACCTCTCCGAGAAGGCGGTGATGTGCGGACCTTCCTTGACTTTTGGAGCCTGTTAGACGTTCTGGAACCCATAAAACTGGGTCCCAGCGCTCGAAGTTTACATCAATATTTTAAATTTCTTTTTTCTAGATCTGACTCCACACTCAAGTCATCATGAACGTTTTTCAACTCCTGATGAAAAAGAAGGAAGTTTTTAAAGTTATCATATTAAAAATCATGACTAAAAATGTTAGCTTTTAAAGATGGAGACAGAGATGGTGAAGATTTTTGAAGAAAGTATAAAATGACATAACGATTAGGCATATTTAAAATATTTCACATCGAAGCATCTCAACATTTACTCTCAATCTTTTATCTGTTAGCTTATTCCTTTAGCCCTGATTATGACCTTCGCGGCGAATGGAGTCTCATGTTTTGCTGTACATTCACTTAAAAAAACTGATGTGATTTAAGTAGGCATTATTATTTTAAATGTTTTTAGGTGTTTGGTTGACCATCAGCTCATGAAAGATAAATGTTTGGTGCCTCACTCCCCATGGATAAATAAGAATGTCAAATCATGAACTTGGGAGTCAGGGCTAGAAAGTATCTTGAAAGCAGAAGACTTAAAATGATGATTAACAAAATTTTGAATTAGTTTGTTATTGTGTCTAAATATCCTTTCAGTCTTTTGATCCTCTTCTATTCTTATGTAGTCAAGTATATTTTGATTTTTTTAACTTAATTTTTTAATGTAAATTCATAAAATGCCTGCCTGGATTATACATCTTGAAACCTGAATAATCAGTTTAATTAGAATTTACAGTTTTAGCATTTTAGGAAGGTATTTACTAATGTGGTAGAGTTGATAGATCCAGTTGTCTGCTCAGAATTGAATCTTGACTTCTGCTATAAGAAGGTAAAGCCCTACATTTCCTAGTATATAAGAAAGCTAAACTTAAAACTGAACTTGGCCCAGTGCAGGGCTCGAGAGAGAGGGCAGTAACTCAGAGCCAGTGGCAGAGAATCTCAGCATTGAATTCATCACCTATAGAGCCCAAGTCCTGCACTTCCATTGGCAGCAGGGATCCAGGGCAAGAACCTTGTTCTTTGCTCTTCATCTGGCAGTTTCACTGCCATTGTTATTCAGCTTGTCTAGCAGAATAAAGGGACCTTAGACTTCCCATCATGCTTAGAGGAATTGATTCTTAATTTTTGATCCAAACTGTGAAATTCCCTTAAGGATTCTGCCATCAATTTCAGTTACTACTGATAATTAGCTAACAGATGAATACCTAAGTATGCAGATTGAGTCTTATTTCTAAGCATATAGAAATAAGAACATATGGATATTGTTGTTGTTGATTTAAAATTCACTTACCTTAACATTTCATTAGCTTTCCTTTACTTTTAGTGTTGATCGAAAAGGAAATCCTGAACCTTGGGAAGCTGTGGATCCTACTGTACCTCAAAAGGTATTGCTAAATTAAAAACAAGTGATTTCTATTTGGCCCAAACTTTATCACCTTTGTCAGCAAAGTGGATTTAATTAACACTGTACCCTTTTGTTGTTGTTAAGTGTGTTCCTGAGTTTGACCTGCCGACCTTGCAGTTCAAATCAACCTTGCAGTCCGGTGCTTATCTTACAGCACCACACCAGGACTGCCATGTAGATTGGTGTTAAAGAGTGCTATGAAGTTGGAAAGATCTAGTTCAAATCCTTGCTTCCTGGTGACTTTAGACACTTTGGCTTCTCCGAGGCTCTGAGTCTCTATAAAATGGGCGTGATGATAGTAGAGCTCTACCTTTGAGTTGTTAAAGGGATTAAAGAGGATCATGTGTGAGTACAAAGGGCCCTTTAGCACGTGGCCTGTCCAATAGGCAGTAGTCAAAGATTTCAGTGTTGTAATGCATCGTCTCATTTTAGCCATTACTTACCTGAATTAATTACCTAAAGTTAATATGAGGTATATTGTGATAAATAATAGACCCTCCTGAAAACAGGGAGTAGCAATCTCTTGAAGCAGAATTGGACTCCTGGTGTGGTGCTGTAGGATTAGTGCTGGACTGCGAACCACAGGTCGGCAGTTCAAACCTACTCTGGAAACCCTATACAGTGTCACTGTGAGTCGGAGTCAACTCGATGGCACTTAACAACAAGAAGCAATATTAGAAAATAATCCATTTGCTCTTTTAAAACTATTGTAGAGGTTTTTGTTTTTGTTATTACATTTAAATTACTTTGGAAGTAAGAAACAGACTTTTTTGTGTGTGAGCACTAGTTTGTCAAGAAATCTTTTTTGCCTTTGTTTTTACAAAACTCTCAGCACAATTTGACCTATGGAAGAGACTTTAAGGTTTTAAACTCCCTTTATCCTGGAGTGACAGTAAAAGTCTGGAGGATAAATGAGGCTCCCTGAATGTGAGTTCTTTGAAAGTCAAGAGTTGCCTAATCCACAGAGCAGTCCTTTTCCTTTTGATGTATAACTTAGATGATTTGTACTCTCACTGAGTCATTTGTTATTGTTAAGTGCCATCAAGTTGGTTCTGATTCATTGTGACCCTATATGGATTTCTGAGGCTTTAAATCTTTGCGGGGGCCAGAAAGCCTCATCTTTCTCCCCCGGAGTGGTTGGTGGACTCAAACCATGGGCCTTGTGATCCGCAGTCCAGTGCTTATCCTATGCAGTCAATATGGATGAAATTCTATTAAGAGCCTACGTCAAGCCCTGTAGTGTCAAGCCTTAGGTATATCCATCTACAAGGTACAGACACACTTTTTAAAGCTCAGGACTCACATAAAGCCATGGGAATTAAAGCATCTAAATCAGTTGCTTTTAAGTCAATTCCAACCTCCAGTGTGTCACAGTAGAACTGGGCTGCAGTAGGTTACCAAGACCTTTCTTCCAAGGTACCTCTGGGTGGACTTAAAACTCCTAACGTTTGGGTTATATAGTAACTGTTTGCACCACCCATGGACACCCATCAACCCCTGCCCACTCACCCCGCCCCCCAAAAAAAATATCCCTCTAGATCCTGTTAAATGAAAGTGGGACAAATGTGTATGGCTTTCCTCCGATCTCACAACACACAGACACTCAAGGACTTTTTAGAGCAATGGTTAAAAACCAGCCCAGCCCATTACTATTTAAGGCCTGTTTTATAAATGGGAAGAAGTGGAGTTTTGACTACAAATGCTCTGGTGATGCTTTTTCTAAGGGGAATGTGGAGAAATTCCAGAAAAGTTACACCTGAGGAGAAAGGGCAGCTCTTCAACAAAACATTTTTTGTTTGTTTGAAGCTTATGACAATCAACCAGCAATGGAGAGCCATTGAAGAGCTGCAGAAGGCCAAAAGGGCATCCAAATGACCAGACATCGCTTCTTTCTTCCAAAGTATACTCTATGAATCTAGTGGAAACACTTCCGGCACAAGCTAGATTATGGGTAACAGTGTG